GCATTTCTCTTTCTGGCAGGCCCAAAGACGGCTATTTTGCTGCCTCCTTTCCCCCCACCTTGGCCAAGGGCCCAGTCCAGGACAAGAGTAACATCTCCCCTCTTAGGTGTTTCATACTTTTCACTTGTAGAAAGAATTTTTCCCCAGATTCTTTATTTCCATCTACACGCCAACTCTGCAGGTGATTCCATTTTCTGCATAAGTCAAGCAATGGGGATGAGCCTAAACCACCAGCACTGTCAGTCCTCACCACCCACATCCACACAGATCTGCCTGAAAACTCCTATACCAGTTTTTTTCCCAACTCCCACATGCTTCTGAGAGGAACCAGATAAAGGCCCACGGTGGCACAGAGACAAGAGGAAAAGAAGGGCGCTGCTGGAGATCAATGGATGAACAGGATAGGGGGTGGTCAATGGGGCAGGGGGAGCATCAAGCTTGGCTTTCAGGTCAGGAGGTGATAAAAGCAAACTCCTGAGACTTGACCTTCTACTTTTGGGGAAAACCGGGGCAGGAAAGGACTTTTCGCCCATCAGAAGGATCAGAGGATGCCCACGAAGAGACTGGCCCAAGCACACGGAGGTCAGGAAGGAGCCCCATTCCCACCAGGCATAAATGGGGTATCTCTGTCAGAGGGGGCACTCTTTAGTGGGGGGTCCCTCCCAGCACAAAGGGACGTCCTGACAACCTCCAAGGGTCTGTCTGAGAAGCTGGAACGGCCAGACCCGTCACCAGCAGTCCAGACTTGTCACCCAGACCTCCTGGGGGCTCCCTCCCTCCGCCGGCGCGGTTGGCGCGCGCTGCCTACCCGGAGCTCGCCCTCGGTGCGGTGCAGTCCCAGACGCCGGAGACCCACGGCCAGGTCGTTGACACACAGGCCGCCGTCGCGGTTGACGTCGAGAGTCTGGAAGAGGCTCCACAGGCGTAGCCGGTGGTCCGGGCCCCCGCAGATGGCGCCGCCGCACGGGTCCCCCACGGACGCGGGCGACGAGGCTGACGACGAGGCGGCGGCGGCTGCGTCCGGCGGCGGGGAGGCCACGCAGCGGCACAACACACTGCTCACCATCGGGCGCCGGGCGGGGGCTGCGGGCCGGCGGGAAGAGCGCGGAAGTCACGCCGGGTTTTCTCTAGCTGAGAACCCAGACTCCCAAGTGCCGGCAAGAGGGCGGGAGGGGCCGCTTCCGGGAGCCCCGCCCCACCGCGCGCCACTGGCCACTCACAGGCTCGGACTGCGACCCAGGAGGGGGCGTGTCGTGGGGGGGCGGAGCCTGTCTGAGGACGGCCCACATCGTCCAGGCCTACCCGACAAATGAAGGGGCGGAGCCACTGGGACTAATTCAAACCAAAGGAGGCGGGGATTGACTTAGCCGGGCCAGAGAGAGGGAACCACGGAGCGATAGGCAGAAATTGTGTGATTGGCAGGCGGAAGGCTCTGCGTTTAATTTCCATTGAGAAACGCTGTTTAGACAGCAGAATCCCAAGGTTCGGAGGTGGTGTAAGGAGAGATCGTAACCTCGGGAAATAGGATTTCTGTGAGAGTAACTGTGAACTGCAATTGCAAAACAGAGTTTGTGCCCCTGGGTGGACTTAAAAATTAATTGCCAGCCTGAGCAAGAGCAAGCAAGATTGAAAAATCATTCGTGTGTTGTGGCGGGCACCTGTAGTCCCAGCTACTTGGGAGGCTGAGACAAGATTTCTCAAACCCAGGAATTTGAAGTTACTGTAAGCTATGATGGGACAGCACTCTACCCAGGGCGTTGGAGTGAGACTGTCTTAAAAAAAAATTAATTGGCCGGCTGCTCAAGACTGAAAGCACTAAGTATCCTCAGGAAGCAGGGTTTTGGTAGTTTAGCTCCCTAAACCACCAATAAAATAGTTGAATTTAACGGCGCAATAGTTGTAATATTGATAATTGAACGACAGAATGATTTTCCAATGGAAGAGAATAAAGGCTAGGTAGGCGGAGCGTTCTGGAGGGACGGACACACCTGTAGACCAATGGTCACGCTAATTCTAGTAAGTAGGCGTGCCCCTTAGCTGAGCGGCGACGTAAAGAACCAGTGATCGACGTGATGTTTGAGCCGCGACCAACCGGAAGAGCGGGTTCTCCTGGAGAAGCTCTAGGGGGCGGGAAGAGGGGAGGTGGGCGGATCTCCGCACACCCCGGCGGAAGAGGCAGATTCAGGAAGCCATTACGCAGCTGGCTAGCAGCGGCCGGGCCGGTTGAGGCTGGGCCCTACGCACTTTGCGTAGCGAGGGGGGTTACCAGAGGCCTAGTGCTTATCTTTGAGCAAGCCCAGCCTATCCCCTGTGGGGGGGGGGTGGATGAGGGGTGAGGCTGAGGAAGAAGAGAAGGGGAATTGAGGCAGTTGAGGGGGTTATAATTTCTTTAAAAAGAGGGGAGGGGAGGGGCCATGGCCGTCCCAGCCAAGAAGAGGAAGATGAACTTCTCTGAGCGGGAGGTGGAGATCATCGTGGAGGAACTAGAGCTGAAGAAGCACCTGCTGGTGAACCACTTTAATGCTGGTGTCCCTCTGGCTGCCAAGAGCGCGGCTTGGCACAGCATCCTGAGAAGGGTCAATGCTGTGGCCACCTGCCGCAGGGAGCTGCCTGAAGTCAAGAAGAAGTGGTCTGACCTCAAGACTGAGGTCCGTCGCAAGGTTGCCCAGGTCCGGGCTGCCGTGGAGGGTGGAGAGGCACCGGGGCCCACTGAGGAGGATGGAGCTGGTGGGCCTGGGACAGGTGGTGGCAGTGGTGGCGGTGGCCCAGCTGTAGCCCCTGTACTGCTGACCCCCATGCAACAACGCATCTGCAACCTTCTGGGTGAGGCCACCATCATCAGCCTGCCCAGTACCACCGAGATCCATCCTGTGGCCCTTGGACCCACGGCCACTGCAGCTGCAGCCACGGTCACCCTGACACAGAGTGAGTGACCTCTCCTGCCCAGTCAGTGTGCATAAATGGGAAGGGTCAGCAAGCTCTGGGATGGCCTGGGGAAGGTTGGCTGCCAAGGGTCAATGGCCAGATGTGAGTCTTGGAAGACCAGGAGTCCTTCCAAGAGTGCCCCAGATAGAATTGATCTTGTTCTTTTTGGGATTTCCTCAGCACTTGGTCTGGACTCTGCTGGATAGCTCTCTACTGTATGTTGCCACCGTGTTTGTCCATAACTTACCTCCACTTGCTGAACCATGTGGTCCTTGAAGACAGAGACCATGCCTGTGTCCCCACACGGGGCTACTAGGCAGCCAGGACATACCTGTTGAATAGATCGATGGGAATAATAATGCTCAACTGAGACAAGCATCCTGGACAAAGACTTTCTGTGTTTTCAGTGCAGCAGACATTCATCAGGCACTGCTAGGGAACCTTACGCTTCTTGATGTTAATCTCCTCATTCATTCATCAAACATTAGCACTTATTCTGTGCCAAACGCTGAATTGGGCACTGGGATTCCCAAGTTGTCTAAAATGTAGGGCAGTTATTTCTAGTAGGACAAATAAGATACATATATGAATAGCTTTCAGTTGGGAAAACCTAAGGACTCAGAAGAAGAAGGGGGCTCCCTGATGGGCATCAAAAGGTAGAGAAGTCTGACATCATGGCGGCCAAACACCTAGGATCCCTTCAAAAGTTCTCAG